GAGTTGCAATCTCTTCTCAGCCCCGTATAAATTTTGATTTAAGGGAAAAACTCCCTGCTGTACATCTGCCCAGGCTTTCGGGTTTCAGCATACCTTATCTCTGTGGTCCCTTTGGGAAAGCCTGAAAATGTTTTAAACACTGAACACAAAGAGAGGGGGTGATAGGGGTGTTGCACAGAGGTGAGATGTCCAGCTGATGAATAAAACTGGGGAAAGAGCTGGAAGCCGGTGATCGGGAGAGAGTGGCTCACGGCAGGGCTGCGGTGCGAGTGACTTCCCCAAAGTAGCTGAAGCAACGTGTGCCGAGTCACCCGAACTGGGGACGCCTTAGATCTGACGCCTGGACCCCGGGGAACGGGGCTGCCCCGTCTCACAGCGGCATGCCCGCGGGGGAGACCTGCGTGCGGGGGCTGCCGCTCTGCAGACCTGGCTGGGACAGGGTCGTCCCCATTGCGCCCGGGGTGCTGTACGCGTGGAGGAGAGTTGTGAAATCACAATGTCTTCCTTCTATAAACGGCCTTTTTCAATAGTTCCAAATTCCTTTGGAAGGGGCTTTTTCTGTAAAAATCAACCATTTCAGTCTCATTGCAGTAACAGCAGCCACTTCCCAGAAAGAAGATTTAGCTCTCAATAGCTGAGGAGGAGGAGAAGGAGGGATGCCAGGGTGATCCGGGAGGACAGACAGCAGGAGTGCGAGGTGCTCCCTTGTGGCAGGGCTGCTGCGGGCTGGAGTAACGTTGGCTTCAGCCGGGTTTGGAGGGAGCCCCGGTGCCTGGAGGTGTGAGGCTGGGATGGGACCTCAGCCAGCAATTACCCGGCTCCCTGGCTGGTGGAGGGAGGAGGAGAGATGTGGGGAACCAGGGGAGAAGGAGGCTGACCCCTGAGCTGGGCGTGAGGGAGGAGGGACAGGCAAAGGGGTTAACTGGGGCTGCTTCCAGGTTGCAGGCAGCTGCCCTCTGTCCTGCTGGGAGCTGTCCCCTCTCCGCGCTGTTCCTGCAGTGGATGGTGAGGATGCGGTGGACGGTGAGGGTGTTGAGCGTCTCTGCTGTGCGAGGGTCGGGTGCTGTGGTATTCGGTGGCACGCCCCGTGCCCCTGCTCTGACTCTGCAAGCGGCTGCCTCTGCGGCGCACGCCTGGGCAGGACCCTCGGTGCTGGCAGGTCAGGGCTCTGTGAGATGCTCTGTCCCCTGCCATGGGGACAGAGTGGCAGTGTTTCAGGCCAAAATTGGCTCTTGAACATTTACTAAGGGACCGGTCACAAAAAAAGCAAAGCTGCAGCTCAGGAGTTGTTGCGCAGGAACGCTCAAGCCCGGAGGCAGATCCCCTGCCTGCACCCTTCAGCTTTGCTGTGCTGGCGGACAAGCGATGCCGGGCGCTTTGATCGCTGCTCTCCATCTTGCTGCCGGGGAAGACAGGATCAGACCTTGGAGTTCAGCTCCAGCTCCCTCCTTGCTGGGACAGGCCCCTGCTGGTACCTCTGCCTTCTGCGAGGTCACGTCTCGTTCCATGTCACTTGTCCCCATCCTCTGCAGTTTTCTCTCCCATTGCACCTGGTTCAGGTTGTAAACCCTCTTCTAGGAAGGGAAAGTGCTCCGGGAAGGGGAACGCTTCTGGGCTGCTCCTGGAAACGGTTGAGCGGGTAACCCTGTATCGCAGTAACAAGCCAATACATCATTTTTAAAAGGGCATTTTATTTAGAGTGTTGGTTGCTGTAGCTACGCAACTGGTCCTCTGGCATGAGGTGCGTGTGTTTGTTTTCTGTCAAGTGGACTTTCCTGAAGGGATTGTCCTGACCCGGGTGTGGGAATGGGGAGCCATGGGAGGTGACAGTGAGAAGAAGGACTGCGATAGCAACTCCCCCGTGGGACGGTCAGCCTGCAGAGTCACAGACAGGGGGACCGTGGGGCAGGACAGTCCCTTGCTGGGACAGAGGGGAGGGCAGGCGGGCACAGCGGGGCTTCAGACGGAATGTGTAGCTGTTACTTTAGCACGACGTGCTAAAGATTACCGGAGATGGTAATTCAGGCGCGCTCACCATGTGCTGCGGTGTGCCGAGCAGAGGAGCCCTGGCTGCGCTAGCAGGTATGCCTTGCAGGTGGGATGGAGATCTGCTTTGCTGCTGCTTGGCCGGTGCCTTCTCCTTGTGGTTTTGTCTCGGATCCTGGGTGCAGGCAGGCACGTGGCTCCATAGCAGCTGCACCCCGGACCCTCCCAAGGTGGCTGCAGCCCTGGGGCAGCACAGGCTACCCCTTGCCCTCCCGGTGTTTCAGCAGCTTGCGCAGGGCTGTTTTCACCTCCTGGGATGCCTCTGCACTTTCCTTGCTGCCCCTGGAGATCTTGAGTGCTCTGTGCTGCAGCTGCGAGGTGCGATGGGCGCAGGAAAGATTAATCGGCCGCAGGGCTGCAGGCTGCACACCCATGTCTGGGCACCCCTGGGCTGGCTGCCACTGCGCTGTCCCCGCAGGCGTGTTGCAGCCTCGCTGCTTCTGCCAGCACCTGCGCGTCCCTGGATCCTCCCGGCCTGCCTGGCTCCTGTCCTTGCAGGACCACCACTCGGTGGTGCCCGGACCCCGAGCTGGTCATGTTGCTCAGGCAGAAGGATTTTTCTGGCTTTGTGGTGGTTTTCCCTGGTGTTGCGGTTGACTGATGAAGCCAGCCGGAGAACTTGGAAGCAAAACTTTCACAGCCCTTGGCGCAGCCTGGCTGTGACTCATGCGCATGATCCGGGTGGTTTTACTCACGCACAGGAGGAAGCAGAAGTTTCTGTCGAGCCTTTGTAGGATTTTGGGTTTGCCTGTCCACAGCCCTGAGGAAGAAGAAGCCTCAAGAGCTGAGTTGGCCCACGGCGGGGTGAACGCACCCTCCCTGCTTTCCCCATGCACCCCTGCCTGCAGCACAGCCGCAAGCTTTGGCTGCTTCCAGTGGAGAGTTTTTTCCTCAAAATGTAGATGAGAGGTTCAAGCTTTTAGGAAAACAGGATGCTGGGAGTGCAGATGGGTCTAACGGTGGCACAGGGAGGACGATGGGCCCCCTCTGCACCGGTTCCTCCCTTGCCCCCAGAGGTGCGGTGCGGGTGCCCCTCTCTCCTTTTCTGGCCGAGCTTGCCACTAATTTTAGCATCCACTTCGCCCCTGCGACTGGGTCATGTCGTTCAGCGAGCGGCTGCCAGGGTTGCTCCTATAT